GTGGGTGGTCTCACACTCCGTCGCAGTGGTGACTCAGCATAACACCACTGCCACAGGCTAATTTGCATATCACGGGACCGGACTTTTCTCTTGTTTGTAAACAAACACGCTTTTTCAGAAATCAGTATAGAACGGACTAATGCAAGTATTTGGGGGCGCTTTACATATTGTTTTGCATAACTATATAGATATGCTACTACAACTGCGACAGTGAGTTGCATGACAATATATATTTATGCATCAAAGTGACCGGGTCGCTAGCTCTCCGTTGGGCTTCGATGACAGCACGTGGAGCCGTACAACCAATGTAAACATAGGATAACTACGCAAAAACAAGTAGATTTTTACGTAGTTGCATACTTTCTCAATGAAAGTTAACCATTCTTTGACATTTGTTTATGAAAATGTGTAGACTTGTCAAACATGAAACGGATGAAAAGCATATGCAATATCTTGAATGGACTGTGAAAGATGTGACGAATCGTCACATGGCGCTGGCCTGTGGCAGAGGTACTATGCTAGCTGGCTGCCGGCCGCATGGAACTCTGGGTAGGAGAGTGGGGTGGTCTTTGACTTGTTTTGAGTAGTATATATGGATATTGACAAGGAATGTTTTGAAGGAGAATGTTCAGTGGATATAATGTTGGTTGATATGAGGCTCGTGAAGATCCGGGGTAGAATAGGTCTTCAGCAACCCATGCTTGCCGTAAAAGGTGACTATGCTTGTCGTAAAAGGCGACTAACGGGATCGGGTGGTCAGGCTCGCTGACTTGGTTGTCGCAATTGCGTGGATCGATGCTCATGATGTCAATCACTGGCTTGTCTGGTCCAGACTCGATTATTTACAGACCGCCGTCATATAGCTGGAATATTGCTGAGTGCGGTGTTAAACAACAAACCAACCAACCAACCACTTAACAACAAAATCGCTCAAGTGCTACAGATCTCATGGAGGTCAAGGGTGGCCCAACTAAAGTGGCACATCTGGCAGTCAGTGTTATCTTGCTTAGATGCTTATTCTGGGTTTGAATCCCAGATCCATGACATGCCAGTATGGTTTGTCAATATGGTAAATGTCAAAAACACATGAATCACTTTGGGCTTTTCATCCAACACTAAAGTTTGCTTGATACTTTATATTTGGATGCGATGTTAAACCCCATTTCACCTCATCCACCTGTAATTCAACATTAAATCTAGAATATTTATTACATCTAATATGAGTCATTAATGGACCAGTGCATAACAATATTATGTTCAATAACATGAATACGATATATTTTCAGTAAAAATGTTTTTCCAGTTAATTAAAGTGTGTAATGTTTCACTTATCTACTCTTTCAAAAGATGAGTTAAAACTTGGCACAGTGTCTACATTTTTTATTATCAATATGAAATCTAAAATTCAAACAGATCATTTAGCAGTTTATCAATGATAGAAAAAAGTGATTAATGTGATCATGTTTTCCTTATCATATCTTCATTAAAAGAAGTTTTGCAGTTTTTGAGTATCCAGTCCATGAAACTAGGATTTGTATCCAAAATTGGATTATTATTTCAAAGTCAGTATTTCGCAATATATAATGTTTAATTCTTAAAGGAATATTTGATCATATTCTTAGGTAAGAGAAGAGGAAGGAAAGGGGCTCTTGGGGCCTTGGAAAGTGTCAAATTTGAAGATAACAAAGACTTGAAATATTATCATGAAAATGATCAGGCATAATTATATGACTAACATTTATTTTTCTGTCTTTCACTTTCAAGTTTAAGACTGCTGATATGAGAAAGTATGTAAGAATGGTTGAAATCTTGAGTGAACTGACTTCGAGATTAAATCTAACTGTGCACAAGTCTGTGACCCACGACGTACCGTATTTCCTCTATTAGACGCCGGGCCTCTAATAGACGCCGGGTCGATCAATTGATACGATTAATGATCCCTTTTTGGGACCTAAATTACATAATGAGGACTCGTGACGATTCGGGACATTCGTGGTCATAGTGAAATGGGGGTATTAATAGAAGCCTGGCCTCCAATAGATGCCGGGTAAAAGGCTTGTCCGAAATAAATGGAAGCCCGGGCGTCTAATAGAGGAAATACATTATTTGTCTCCATATGTTTCACTCTCGTATTCTAGATCTCCTAAGAAAATAAGCTTGGGTCAAAGAATTACTGCTACTCAAATTTCATAACATGCCTTTTCGACACAATTTAGCAAATGTCATATAATTAATTAAAAATATTATTATGTTGTAAGTCTTAACAAATTCTGCTTCTCATTCATTTTAACAGATCTGACAACTTTCTAAACAAGTTTCTTACATTTCTTAAAATAAGCAGATTCTGAAAAGGGCCCTTGTCATACCTTGTCCTTTTCTTGGTGCCAGTGTGTTTTCACTTGGCGGACACCTTCATTGTGTTTGTAACATTGAACTTATCTAAAACCAATCCACCCAATAGAATTTCAGGAAGCGCAGCAACCAACCAATCAGAATCCAGATGTAATCCTGTTTACATTGAATATTGTCAAGTTTGTTGGAAATTTCCTGCATGTTCAAAATGTCAAGGTTTGTGCAAGTGAAGATATTCTGAACATAATCTCAATTAATCGCGTCACTGAACTTCAAAATTGAGTTCAAATCGGTGATTTTTAGGAATCCTAGATGGTCATGGAGTACAAAACATGTCAGGAACAATTATCAACATAATGGTCTTATCTGGTACCGATCTGTTTGATCTTCCAAGTTGAGATTTCTAACAAGAAAGAGCATGTCAGTTTTGTTGAGCATATTTGGATCAAGGCATTTGGTTTGAGTGGAATTAAAGTTAACATGATGAAACAAATGGGATGGTTTACGAATAAAACAGCTGTCCCTTAATAAAACAGCTGTCCCTTTTATTTAACTTGATGTGATCAATGAATTGGTTACATGATGAACCGCATTGACTAACAGCAAACCGCATTGACTAACAGAATATACATCAGATCCAGTCTAAAGTTTACATGCATTAGATCACTGTATGGTATTTATTGGTGGTGACAGTGCTGTCAATATTTGTTACCTTGAGCAGTGAATTGGTTTACGAGAAAATATTTTATATTGATGGAATTCTCCCTGTTCAAATATTCCTGTCAGAATCAGAAAATTGATTTACTAGGTAATTGTTTTTTGTATTATAATACACCTCTTTTGTGAAACAATCATGTTAGAATCAGGGAATTGGTTTACAAGGTAATAATATATTTTATTCATGATACACATCCTTTATAAAATTATCCCATTTAAATTTTTCTCCCACATCAAACCAACATGCCGTGATATAACTGAATTTTTTTCAAAGTGGCATTAAACCCAACTCACTCAGATTACAATCAATGAATTTGTTTCCTGGTTAATAGTATTTTTTATTCAGCACACACATATCTGATAAAATTATCATGTTAGAATCAATGAATTGTGTCCAGGGTAATAGTATTTTGTAGTCATCATTTTTATTATTACTAGATATTAGTTTCTGTCTTTTAATGGTAAATTAATCAGTTAAAGTTCATAACATAGCATACAGAGAAATGGGATCCTAGTCTTGCTACTCCAACAGGTTTAATTATGCATAGCACCAATGGTTGGTTGGTTTGTTGTTTAACGCCACACTCAGCAATATTCCAGCTTTATGATGGCGATGTGTAAATAATCGAGTCTGGACCAGACATTCCAGTGATTGACATCATGAGCATCGATCCACGTCTTTGGGATACGATGACATGCATCAACCAAGTCAGCAAGCCTGACCACCCGATCCCGTTAGTCGCCTTTTATGGTAAGCATGGGTTGCTGAAGGCCTATTCTACCCCGGATCTTCACGGGTCTAGCACCAATAGCTGTGATATAACTGGAATACTGTTCAAAGCGGCCTTGAACCCAACTCACTCACTCACTCACTCACTCACTCACTCACTCACTCACTCACTCATAGCACCGATGAATTGCATCAATAAGAATTTCAGTGCTTAGGTTATAAAGGCTGCCTCACATACCTAGAGAATAAATCAAACAAGAGTCATCAGGAGATGACATATCCCCCTGGTCTGGTGCAATTCAGAAATGGAATTTAGCTTCTTATACCCCACTTTTGATTCATTGCCATTGATACCTTCAGTTCAGTGAAGAAAAAAACTATTGCTGTTCAATATCTTTCTGAAACACAGGCTTGTCTGCTGCCATTGTCACAAAAGTTTATGACACACTGCTGTAGCATAATAGGAACACGTGCCCATAATTGTGCAGTACCTAGGTTTGATGGACATCTAACCTGAACGAGCAGGAGATATTACACATAGCACTTGGATTACTGATGTAGTAAATAAAAGTCGTGTTGTTGAAAGATCGATTTTGTGTGGACCAGTAAGTGTTATAGTCAAACACAAATTGCATTATTTTTTACATGCACTTTGTGCATGTAGACTAAAATATAAAATTTCATTTTTCAATAATAGGTTGCACTTGTGTATGTCTTAAATAGCTTAATCGAGCCCTGGTAAAAATGTGTATTTTATTGGGGTTTTTTTGCTTTTGTTTTTGTCTCTTATTTTTTTGGGTGTTATTTTGTTATATTGTACTGTACTGTACAAGAATCAAGAATCTTTATTGTACAGAACTCCCTCGTCAAGCAGGGTACAAACTATCTACATATGGAATAAATATAACTATAAACATGAGAGGTAGATATACATAATGTACACTATATATACAGATATTACATATTATTTTCATTCATAGTGTTTAAACATTTATATATATATATGTACTGAAGGGGGATTTTAATAATTATGAATGTCAGTAAAATACACTATTTGAAGCAATTGTTTTTACTGCATGAAACTTAACACCTGTATACTTGAACAGTGGCTGACCTGACCACAGACTGTCAAACCAGCGGGAGCTTTAGGGGGGAGGAGGGGAGGGGTCATGGCTGGCAGATATTGGTGAGGGGGATATACCTTGTGACAGACTGTGACCTCCATTTACAGATTCGCCTTCTCAATTACTCCTCGTCCTAGCTCGTCTCAGCTCTGAGGTGGCTTGCTTGGTTTGAAGTAATGCCTCTATGTTCAAACAGATGTACCTTTTTCACAGATTATATATTAGGAGATTTAATGTCAAGTGATTTAACACTGAACGGTTTTATATTCAAAACATGTTTTAGTGATATTATATCCAAAGATTATGTGTACGCTGTAAATTTTTGCAATATGAGAACCTATACATTTCATTGCTCATGACATGAATAAATATATGAAAAAGAATAACAAATTAATCTGATAACCCTAAACTTATTAACTGATAGAACTTATTCCTTTACATAAAAGTAACATACATAGTAAAATATTAATCATGGCTTTTTCATGTTTAAAGTGACTTTTACAGCAAAATTAAGACTAAAAAAATCTCTTCCATTTTGAAATTTAAGCTTTTTCAGATATCTCAATGAGAATAACTCTCCATTATTTCAAGTGTTATTTTGAACATAATAAGCCTTTAGGAGCCATAACTAAGTATGTAATGTCACAATAACAGCCATGAACTATGTACCACACAAACTCCAGCAATAAAACCTGTCACGCTGCCTGTACGTCACTCATAAGTGGAGTGCAGCCTGTTTTCTGAATGATGCGATATCCGTATAACACTCACGTTCCCCCAATCTGGATTGCATATCCTCGGATTCTCAACTTGCTGGATTTTCCGGCCAGGATATGCCTGCCTCATCGTCGCTGAGCACATCTAAATAAACGGTAACTATGGGCGGCAGATAGTTGCTATCGGAGAGGAAGAATATAGCCTGTGAATCGGAATGGTGTCCTACTTTGTAAGTTCCCTCATGAAGATTTTCCTCTGAGGCTCGTCTCCCTTAGAGCCCGGTATTGTGGTTCACAAACAACATGAAAACATCCTGTTTTGTTGCCTTTACCTCATTGTTTTGTTCATTCGATCAGTGGAGCAACTTAACCACTGTCACACAAGTGTGTCCACCAACACCAACAGAAAAAACATCCCACATCAAGGAAACTTAAAATTCTGTCCCATAGAATCCCTGATTCGACTTGATTCAGGGTAGCAATTCATTCGGTTGAGGACATCTTGGTAGTCTCCAGAAAGAATTCAAAGTTTGACAAACTGCCACATCTTCATCACAAACTTGTAGGGTTTTGGCCCCTGCTCACCAAGCTCCGCATCCTCTAAGTGATGTTTTAGTGAAGCAGTTCACTATCTCAGCCCTCGTCCATCCAGATTCCATACCCTGTGTATGTGGAGAACCCACACATGCCTTCACTCTTAAACAGGCTGATTTATGAATGAATTCATTTCTGGTGGCACACGGAAAGTCTACCGTCACCTATCTCTGGCGGGGATAGTATTTCGGCAGTGTAGGCTGGTAAAACCCTGCTCTCAATGGTGGAAGTAGAGAGTGCTAATTATTCAAGTATGGCCTAACTGACACAATGCATTAAGTCCCACCATGGGAAGGTGGCCGGGTTGAGAAAGTTAACAAAACTCATTCAGGTGGGCCCAGGGTAGTCATTGTTTACCCACTGGTGTGAAATGGAGCTCTAACCAACCTATTCACATAATTAGGTCTTGGCATTAAATGATATTTCTTGACACATATTTTTCATTCATAATATTGTGCTTGTTAATGAATTTTATGTGTGAAGTTATTTAGATTTTCTATGAGAATGTAATTTGAAACTGGTATCGTGATTTCGATTTAATGGTATTGTAATTTCTGATAGTTTTATATTTCTTTTAATAATCAAAAGCTAATAATAGTTTCTATTTGTGTGAATAATATGTTGATTTTTTTTATACTGAAAAATCAATATTCTAAATAAATGGGTAACTTTTCATTATGAATGGTTTTTTTCAAATTATATATACCTTTTTATTTAGACGATTTTGTTTGCGAATATTGCTTCAAACTCATGTCAACACTTGTTGCAGACTGAATTCAGCATCAAACGCGGTCACAGTTTTGAAAATTTGAAAACATTACTCCACTCAAAATGCGTTTTGAAAGTGACATTCATGGGGAGTTTTTAAGTGATATTTATATAAGCAATACCTCACGCAATTTGTTGCTTTAAACTAATCTGTTATCTAGATTCAAAAGGGCCACCATAATTTGTCTCAACCGTGTCGCGAAATCCCGTGGAATTTGCGTGAATAATGATGCCGTATTGTGTAACCAGCAAGGATATAGGAACAGAATACAGAAAGGTGTAGATGATCATTAGATCTCAAACTATTCTGACAGCTAGCCTAGCCTTATTGTGTTCAACAATGTTCAGTGAGAAGTGCTTAGTTCTTTAGTGTAGAGCGTTTAGCTGGTATTTTCTCACTCCCCTCTGATCAGCCATGCAAGGAGAATCTTCATACATAGCGATCTGACAGGCGAGGCCCCTGCGTCCAACGAGGACATAATGGGAAGAAAATCACATTATTAGGAATAATTGGATGGATCAGTGATACTGAGAGGAAAATAAAAATACTGTCACAACGTTCCTCTGAGAGCAAGTACTTGTGGCTCGTCACATGCATGAATGTAGCACTTTGTCGGGTAGATTGGAGAAAATGAGTGTGACAATGATGGGTAGTTTTTTATGCTCCTACAAGCATGAATCGTCATGTGTATTTGTCCCCCTTGTCGGACTGATGAGGTTGGGGAAATGGGGTTGTGGATGGAGACAAAGATGAACCAAATTGAGGAACTTCGCGCCCTCGTAAATTACACGCTGCTGGGGAATGATTGACAGGTTTTTGAAATGAGGAGTGAGCATTAGGTAGTGAAAGTGTTTTCTGATAGATAATAAGCACACTTTGGGATGACACCTCGCTGATGACTGCCCTCACAAAGTGAAGCTATACATGATCATATTTTTGAACTCGACCAGTTTGTAGATTACTAATTCCCCATCTGTCTAATTACTCCTCTACCCCAATGTGAAATGAAAGATTTACTTCTAGGAGTTTCTCACTTTGCACTTGTTGGTTTGTACAAATTAAGAAAATAAACAATTCCTTGAACAGTGATAATATACCTGATAATAATGCATTAACCAAATTATCATTTATAATGTTACCGAAATGTCACTAAATTGTAACTGGGAATCGATCTACCATTGTCCACAATGGATAGTAAGGAATAATGTGAAAATGTTTGAAAAATGTCATGTGAGAAAAAGGTGCAATTTCTTATGAACTTTCTAAGGATCCAAAAAATAGTTTATGGTGGAAAATAAACACAAATATATAGATTGTTCAGTAATTTTAAAAACGTTACTCTTCTACCTGGTTGTCAAGGATACATATTCATATTCCTGCATATTCATAACAGCTATGAGAAGTAAAATACATAAGTTTTAAACATTGAAAACAGCACTAAACACTGCATACTCACTTGTTCAATCTTCATCTGGAACCTTTTCCTGAACACTAAAGCGTCCAAGCACATGACAGGGAGGACCAAAACGCAGTCCTTGCGGGCAGGTCCTACCTCCCTTCACAGTTTGAACAACTCGAAACCATATAGCCCCTGTTACAGTGTTCCTGATCTCCCATTAGGACCCATCACATTATACTCTTTATCCCCCAAACATACAATGGCCAATATCTTATCACACTATCTAATGTCATCCCCGATCAAGCCTATTCCTCTACACATGCTGCCAGGCCTGATAGGAGAGGTCAAGGTGGTCAGGGGGAGGTCACTCTAGCCTGGACCTGCACTGACAAATCATGGTCTATAATGAGGCAATGACAGATACCTGTCCGGCCATGCGGCTTGACTCATTAAGTGTGGAGCAATCCTTCTCCAAGCAGTCTGGAACCTTATCTTCTGTAATTATTCCAGATAAGCTTGTCTCACAAATATTTAACAAAATCCAGCCTTGGATCGGTGGGAAAATATTCCTGGTAGCTGCGTGGAATGGCCAGGGCCCATATGCACAAACAGTTCTTAGGCTGTGACTGATGAAACTGGCTTAAGAAAGACATGTGCGAGTCCAGCAGATTGACTTGTGTAAGCATTTTAAAGATAAGATAAATTTTATTGTACATATACCCTCACAGATACAGAAACGTGTAGATTGGATAAAAACTAAAACAAGAATGGTTCAGGACAATACAATGCACTTTAGACTAGACATCATCAGCGCTTAAACAATTCACTGATGAACTGTTTTTTTAACAATACAACATTTTCAGAAAATAACCCATGTATATCATTCGTAGTCTTTTTTTCCGAGAAAGTGAAGAAATAAGTGGGTTCCTTATCACTAGCGGAGCTGTCAGCGCAGTATTATTGGAACATCACATAAAACCCACTGTGATGTTATAAACAATAAAGGACATCATCTTTAATCATTTGCAATAATTCGTTGATATGACAAAAAATTAAAGAATGCTTAATGAGAATTCCTGAAAATAATTCCACCATTATCCCTATGGGTAATATTATATAACATGCACAATTGTGTATGTCACAAGTCAGAAGACTATATATATGTTGTATACTTTTGTCAAGGCCGCACAGCTAGTCCACAGATCTTAATGATGTTTGTACACAGTGTGTATTTGCTCCACAGGCTGGCATCATATTGACATTCAAAGACTAAACTATCAAGTGGACTATTCAGTCGGATCCTGTATTAGTTTGACGTTTTAGTGAAAAAATGGTATTTTGTCTGGGTCACCATCATGAGCTACTTACACTGTCTGTGCACCATGATGTTATTGTGCGGTGAACAATTGTCTCCCAAGTCTGTTTTGTATTAAGGCTAAAAATAAAATAGTCTTGGTTCTCAGGCACCGCCCGCATCATCATGAAGTTCGCCGCACATTTCATTTCTATTTCCATTTTTTAAAAATATATAAATATCCTTTAGTCAAATACTGTATTACATTTATGTAGGGAGGCCCTTTCCCAGATTGATTGTACACAATTGTTTATCTGGTTACACAACTGTTTATTTGGTTACATACTAGTTTGAACACACACACCAAAAAAAAAAAAAAAATTGACACCGCCCGCACTATATTTTCAAAAAACATTGCCTGAGAACCAATTCTTGTATTTTTTTAAGCCTAAGTTTTTTTTAAAATTTTGTTTCCACACAAGTTTGGACCAAATAAAAATAACAATACACAGCTATGTCAAACATCTATATATTTATATGAAAGTCATTCTGTGTGGAGTTAAAACTGCAGCTGGTTTCTTGAATGGAATTTATATACATTTTATTTTGTATAAGAGGGTCTATATTACGAGCAGGGGACAGAATAATAAATTTTTTATTTTTAAATATTTTTTTCTTCTACCTGCTTTTCAGTAGGGGTGGCGGGCCTGTGAAAAATGTGCGGCCTAACAGTTATTGTAGCCTAATGTTTTGTTTGTTTGTTGTTTAACGCTGCACTCAGCAATATTCCAGCTATATGCTGGCAGTCTGTAAATAATACGAGTTTGGATCAGACAATCCAGTGATTGACATCATGAGGATCAATCCACGTAATGGGGATACGATGACATGCACCCACCAAGTCAGCGAGCCTGACCACCCGATCCCGTTAGTTTCCTCTTACATTAAAAGATTTGTTCGTCACTCCGAAGACCCAGCTTTGATTCCCTACATGGGTAAAATGTGTAGAATGTGTGATGTCCTCCACTGTGATATTGCTGGAATGTTGCTAAAAGTGGCACAAAACAATATTCACTCACTCTCTTTATAGTTATGACAGAATTTTCTAGAATATTGAAAATGCTTTTGTGTATACAAATATTTCAAATGATAACTTTTGACATAGATGAAAGTGTGATTACCTTCCATGATGAAATTTTATGTTTGAATTCCATTGTATTATGTTATGATGTGTTATGATGGTTTTATTGTTAAATACTGAAATACTCTTAAATTATGTTCGTTCTCAGCTTAAATCTGACTGGAACCAAAGTACCAGCATATTGATTTCTCCCTGGAAAATATTTTTCACATTTTTCTGTTTGTCATCTCGAACCAATTGTAACATGTTTCATACATGGTATATACTTTCATATTGTCTTTGCTTCCAAAGGTCAAAGGTTGTTTAATAAGTGAAAGGTATTTGTGAAAAGACATCACGCCACAAGGTCATCATAACCTCATGAAAGTTTAGATGCTTACAATCTGTTAATGTAAAAACTAAGTTATGCAAACAAATAAAAACGCCATGCCATTTTAACATAACTGCACCATCACAAAACAAGCCAGAGAGTTTAGCACGAGCTGGTGCAAGGATCCAAACAACAGCACTCTCAGTCTGCGTCATTGCTGCCATGATAAGACCCAACATATATTTTCCATAATCATCAAAAAATGAGTATGAAATTGGTTGTTTATGAGGA